CTTCCATTGTCTGAGCATGCCGAGAAGTATAGTAAGAACCTTGCACAACCATATTATTTCGTTTAACTGGTTTGAATCTTCTTATTGAGTTTACTTTCTCAAGGATAAATGGATACACCCTACACTCTTGAAAATAGGGTTGGGAACATTGTGAGTATCAATGTTTTCTCAGCAATAAGAGAAGAAATTAGTATAAAAGTTGCAATATAGACCATTTGTAATTACATAATAATAACTAAACAAAGATATGTGAAAGATTATCTTTACAATTTAAATTGTAATATATAACATAAAAATCGTATGAAAATTTTATTATATTCCATTCCATGCCTCACAAACATGTTTCTAGAATGAAATTACTCATTCTTTTATCTTGCTTTTGCGATTACCTATCCATTCCATTTCTTTGTTGTTCCATTCTTTGCAACCTCACATATCTCAAAAAAGTAATTCGGAAATCCATCACAAAAAAGAAAATGTTTTATAAACTCTTATAAGTGTAGAACAAAGATAAGACTAAATGAGTGTATGGTGTTAATCTAATTATGATTTTCTTTCATCTCTATTTGCATATTTCTAGCTTGTTTGTAGTATTGTCTATAAAATATTATTGTTATATCTGAAAGTTTATTTTCCGATTTTCATCTTTTTGTGTGTATATTTTAATCTTTCAGGATTTTTAGAGTATTTGAGGGATCGTTTCTGCTTAGTAGTGGGGTGAAGTCAATGTCCCTAAAATTGGAGGGTAGTTGTATTTAGAGCCACTTGAATATTGAAGATTTTTGTTGGCATTAATTTCAATAATCATATGTACCGTAGAAGAGATATCAGAACAATAGTTTATTTTTTTATACCGTTTCTTGTATTTATTTTTTAAATGTTGCACAGGTGATTGGTACAAGGTGTGGTCACCCTTGTCTAGGATCAAGGGTAATTTGGTAACTTTTTAAATATTACACTTTATTAAAGAGTACAAACGAATATTTGTGACTTTTGGTTCCTTATGAAAGAGGCAAGGGTATAACGATCCTTTTAATATAAATTGTTTATTTTATTGTTTATTACCTTCTATGTCTAAAACATAATTACAACCTTTTGATTATGCTTATTAAATATGTCATAATATTTTATTTGATCTAAATTTATGATTTTCAGGTGTATGGAATTGTAAGAGATAGAGACTGATTTCAATTCGTTAATGTCATCGATTATTTCAATATATTTTGGGATGTAAGTGCTTTAGATGTCGAAGCTTTTGATTATATTTGATAAAGAGTAGTTAACGGGGGCTGTTTTTTAGATTATTCATTATTATATTAAAATTATATATATATATATATATATATATATATATTAAAATTAATAACATTATCTCTACCATTCAGTATGGAAACCATCATTCATGAACTGAATAATGCTTAATTGTTTCTTTCTGTATTCTGTGTGGCAAATTCATTGGTTAAAGCCTTTGGCACCAATGTGATGATATATATTTTACTCTAGAGAATCCTACACCAAATGTAGTGACATCTTCAAAGGTATCTTGCCTAACTTTTCTAAAGCCTTTGGCACCAACTAGTTCTTTCAAGAGGTTAGTTTTGATTTTTCCTATTCATTTCAATTGAATGACTAAGCTCAATGTACAATGTCTATGTGTTTATATGTTTTATATAAAGTTGGAGGTTTTGAATGGTTTTGAATGGTTTTTCCGGTGCAATTGGAAGTTGTTATACCCAAACGTATACAAGTGGTTAGCACCTCGCTTCATGTTTTTTTTTTGGTTTTCATGTTTTAAGAATTGATATGCTTTGGATAAAAATCGTACCCCCTGTTTGAGTCCAAAATCAAAATCGTTTTTTTTGTACATTAAAGCTCAGTTGTAGGACAGTGTTCTAGAAACAAATTTCATTAATAACATTGAAGTTTGCAAAAAAAGGTCATTAATAGCACGACCCTTTGAAAAAAATTACTTTTTTCGGTTTCTTTTTAGATAATCTGGAAAAGTTTCAATTTTTTTTTCGTACAGTAGAGCACATCAATAGGATATTTTCTGAGAAAAAAAGTTCATTAATTGAAAATACATTGTCATTTTCTTTCACATATGGACCATTTATGTAATTTTTTTCAAATATGAAACATTTATTTAATATTATAGATTTCTTATCTTATTCATATATTTTCATTTACAGCAATGTACTTTAAATGTTCATTAGTACGCCATTGATATGATAATCTTTTGAAAAAAAATGTTTTTAGTATTGAGCTTTGTAAAAAAAAAGTTCAGATATAGCGTTGTACTTTTTAAAATAATTACATTTTCAGATTATTTTTAGATGATATAGAAAGTTTTTTTTTTCTGTATATTGAAGCTCATTTGTAGGACTGTTTTCTGGAAACAAATTTCATTAATAACATTAAACTTTGCAAAAAAGTTCATTAAGCTCATCATACTTTCAAACAATTACTTTGCGGATTCATTTTTGATGACATGGAAAAATTTTATTTTTTTTGTACATTAGAGCTCATTAAGACAATTTTCTTTTAAAATACATTTCGTTATGGAGAGTACTCACTCTATACTATTGCTATCTATTATATACTATCTTATCTTCTAAAGAATTATAAAAGTGTTGCTTTTTTAGCTTTTTTTTTCAACATTTTGACTATTTTTCTATAGTTTCTACCCGACAACTTATTTGATGATGTTGAAGCCTTTTCGAGTGTTGGAAGTGGTTATCGTTTGAATGTCTCTTAATGTAAATTTTAAGTAATTATTGTTTATAGTCATTATTTTACTTAAAATTTTCTTTCAGGCTTCAGAGGCATATTATCACATATAATAAGTATTCTTATATGAGAAAAAAAAACTTAGCAAAATTAAAACAAAAAAATTGGTTTTGATGTTGTCTATATCGTGTAAATCACAATTACAAGAATCAATATTAGCGCATATATATATATATATATATATAATTAATGATTACAATTTTTAAACAACGTTTGTATCTTGAAAACATTTTGCATGATTAGTTTAAATTAATAGTTGTACACTTATGTTATATCAAATATTCACATATATTCTCAATGTATATATTAATTTTAACTAATCATTATAAACTTACAGATAAAAATCTATCTTTGAAAATTTGTTTGAAAACATTGATTAGTTATTAGGATTAATTATATATTTATATGTATTTTTTTATATGTCCCCCGCGTTTTACGCGGGTCATGATCTAGTTGACAATAATATGAATATCCCTCACTTTAATTTAGAGAGAGAAAAACATCATTTGGATTTGTTTTGAAAAGATACACTCATTCCTTCTCCTTCTTCACTTTTTTCGGATGGTGTTCGGGATTCTTTTTTGAAGTTAAAAATGACTTTTATCCAAAATGATTTATTGACTTATAAAGGTAGGAAAATGAGTATTTAAAAAAGTGCTTGGATTAGCTTTTTATAGTTGCAAAAGTCAATAAATCAATAAGTTAAAAGTGTTTGGCTTAATTTTGTCTTTTATCTATTTTGTAAACCTAATAATTCATAAGTTGTTTCAAGAAGTTAGAAATCGTGACTTCTTAAAATCTTCTTTTCAAAGAGTTAACAAAAAGTTGTTTTAAAAGGTTTTTTATATACCTAAACACTTTTTTTTTGTTTAATTTATTAACTTTTCAAGAAGTCAATAAGTTAAGAAGTCAATTTGAGATGAAATCACAAACACCCTCTCACTTCTGTAGATTTTGAATCAAGCGCGATTTCCGTCCAAATGGGAAAACGCAATCATCTCCAAATCGATTTCTAACCATGGATGCACTCAAATGTATATACTCTCATCTGCTTTCAATCGATTAAACTAGGGATTGAATCGTTTAATTTGCATCGAAGGTGTGAAATCAAGTCTATTTTTTAATCAGAACTCAAATCAACTGTAAGATTAGTTTTTTGTGGTGTGTGATTTCTTCCTTTACTTTTTTAGTTGTGCGATTCCAATATGTTTTTTCATGGGTGTGCGATTTCTTCATGTGTTTTTTCAAAATTCTTAAGTGAGCTGCGATGCTTTTTGTTTTTGTATCGTAATCATCATTTTGTGCCAAGCATCATATGTAATTGGTAAAGACTAAATCTGACGATCTGAAACTGCCATAACCGGTCACAGTGAACGTAAAAAATCAAGAAAAGAAACCAGGCCATAGGAGTTATCCTTAAGTTTTATCGGCCTATGTTGGTTCAACTTTAGCATCATAGACTCATAAGATGTTAGTTCTGGTTCGGTTGATTGAACGATCATAATTAGCACAATGGAACTTGTTTAAATGTTTGTCATGAACTTCCTTGTGATTAAAGATGGTGGTTGTCAGATACTCAAATGAGATTTGATGAAGATAGTAGTGGATATCGTTTTTTTAGGACTTAAAATAAGGAATGAGAGAAATCATATTAATTGGAATTGATCAGCACATTAATATCATTTAAAACATGACATGTGGCACAAATCATTTTCATTTATTATGATTGATTAAGTTAACACTGGTTGAAGGGTATAATAGTCAAAACATTTATTATTAAGCAGACTAATCAAAAAACTTCTTGGAAAGATCAGCCCCTTTATATAGTGTAATAGGTAAATTATAAAAATGGTCATTATATAAAAGAAAATTTATAGAAATACCATCGAAAAATTAAACTCGCCACATATCCACTTAGTTTTCAACAATTTTGCAATCAAATTTCAAATTATGATATATCTTCAGGGAAAAAACATTTAATTTGAAGTTCAGGTTTTCAAAATGTTTTTTTTTTTTTTTTTTTGTGAGAAAAACACATTTCATTCGTATAAAGGTCCTTTGTGATGGGAAACTTAACAAAGCACTTTTCACACTTCGCAACTCACCGACTGCAAAAAATAAATAAATAAATAAATAAGGAACTCAATTACACATGATATGGTGATGATAATTAATTAAACTAACCAGGTCCATTCATAGCAGGTGTTAAAAAACTAAAGTAAAAGGATTTGATCAACAACTGCAATTAAAAAAAAAAAAAGATAACAATAATGATAATTCTTATGAAATCTAATTCAACTCAAGCAGCTACAAGTTTAATAATAATATATTCTTCCATAGTTGATAAATTGAAATTAAACTCTGATATTTCAAAAACAGAACCTAAGTGGTGAGCTCCATGATAGCACTGACTATGTCCCCATTGTGAGTTTTGAGAGCTTTCACAGCTTTAGGCCTTGAAACACCTGCTTGCGTCATCACCAAATCAATGTCACGTACCTCAACACCTGTTTCATCCACTTCCTCTTCCTCTTCATCTGCTGCTGCTGCTGCAGCTGCTGCACCTGAAATGTCCGATTTGCCCATGACGGAACCCATGTCGGGCATCCTGAATTGTTGGGCAGCTTGGGTTTGAAGCTGTGAGCTTAAGTCCTCAATCTTTGCTTCACCAAATATCACATAGGTTTCTGAGTTTGGGCTCTTGAATACATCTGGTTTTGAAATGAAGAACATGATCTGTTTATATATATAATTATTATTACAAAAAGAATGTTAGAATGTTTGTTTGAAAATTAACAAAAAATTTAAAATATATATATATTTAAAAAGGAATTTACGTTTTTTGCTCTTTTAATGGTAACTCTGCTGACACCAAGAACGGGTTTCATTCCCAGCTTCAACATTGCCTTTCGACTCTTTTTCTCACTCCTGCTTTGCTTTGAACTCTCACTACCACCTGAAATTTTTATTTTTTTAATTTATGATATGCATATGAAATGAATAATATGGGCATTGAAACATAATGCAACAAATTATGTAACATTGATTCTCATGTTACTAAGCAAAAGGTGTAAGATTTGATGCTATTTAATTGTTTGTGTTTGTAAACATGTTTTATTAATTGTAAATAATGTTTTTGAACTACTTGAAATAAACATAGTATACATTTTAAATGACAGAGAAAATGTGTTCATATGCTATTTATCTAAAGATATATCCTTTTTTTTAATAAAGTTTATTTTTTTTCTTCATTTATCAAATTAACTTTATTTAGTTTTCTAAGTAACACAACAAACATGTCATTTCATCCATTCCAAACCAACCAAACATAACAATGGAAAGGAATGATCTATTCTAATTCATTGTTCTTGTTCATTGCAAGCAGACCCTAATCATCGATTTTATATTCACTAAAATATCAATTGATTGCACTTAATTCTAATCCGAGTGTGCAAATTCTTGGAACTGAGACCAATTTAAGCGAGTGTATCTATAATAGAAATACCAGAATATCAAATTGAACCTCGAAAACGAACCCTAAGATGCTAAGACTTCAGCAAATTTAACCAAAGACAAAAACCCTATTAGACAGCATGGTTCAGAAACAAACGGAACAGGCAGTTATCCATTCACGACTATTATGTATTAACCACATCAAGAAGCAAGAAAATTTTATGATGAAAACCACAAAAGCATAAATCTTTGAAGCAAAGAATCACGTATAAGAATTATGAAAACTCTTGAAAAGGTTAGATAGATAAGTACATTGAGCACCGTCTTCCTTGTCATCATCGTCGTCGTCGGAATCGTCGGCGTCTTCATCGTTGTGGTCGTCTTCCTCCTTAACATCCTCAACTACACCCTCAACCACGGGACTCACCTCCTGCTGTAAGAATCCAGCTACAAGTCAGTAACAAGGTTGAAAAATTGAATCTTGATTATATATAAATAGATAGAGAGAATTAAGAACGTGAAAGCACCTCGACCTTCTTCTCAGATTCAATTTCTTCGACGACGGGGCCCGGCATGTTTAATCGATAACGTTGGTTGGCTGTTGGTTGATGTTGAAGTAGAGCAAGAACACCGTTGTGGATAAATCTCTGATAGATATGGTTATAGAGAGATGCGATTTTTACTCTTTAGAAGACTAGGGTTCCTTTTGTATTGGGCTTGTTATTATTGGGCCTAAAAGATAGATACTAAAAACTGAAAATACATGCTTGTTTGTTTCATTACATTTCTGATTCACTAGTTGATTCAACTGAAGTTAGAATCATTTTAACATTTTAATGGTTTATTGAAAATAGGTTTCTTAACCATTTGGAGGCTATTGATTTAGTATCAAACACGTTAAATACCCACTGATTCAGAGGTGTACTTTGTATGTTTCTATTAAAAGGTTATCAAATAGCCCTTAAAAAAGTAAGAATCCACCCTATGCCACATTCCATGTTTACTAGGATTGATACTTTATAATCAAAGAAACCACCCTATGGCACAGTCCATTTTTTATTGTTATATTTGCATAAAATATCAAGAATTCAAGTCTTAAACAGTTATTATGAGAATTTTTTAATTTTAATGGAGATGAAGGTCTTTGTAGGCCCCGACTATCATGTTAACATCGGGGCCGAACTTTAAGGTTGTTGGAAGAATAATTTTTTTGTAAAAAAAAATTTCTAAATGTTTGTTTTCGTACTATTGAACATTGTTCTAAGGAAAAATCTTTGTTAGTGCACTATCAACATTTCAGAAATCCTGATATTTAGAAGCAAAAACCTTCAAAGAGATCATCTTCATATGCTTAAATTTCAAAATTCTTAAAGGAAAAACATGCTCCTACATAGACCAAATTGCAAGTCTAATCCTGCATTCCACCTTTGATTACCACTATTGGTAACAAGTAACCAATCAAGAACAAATCAATCTCTGGACAAAAACTTCTATATAACAAAATGATTCAAAACATCAACCAAAGAGATACCCTCCATCCCCAATCAAAGCAAACAAAAGAAAACGACCTAATGGCATAGATGAATGAAGTTTCAATAATGATCACCTTCAACTAAGTATAACTTTGTCAAAAACCCCAAACACAATCTGCACATACTATATGAATGTAACCTACTTCCATAATCTCAATTACAAAGATAAGAAACACCACAAAAAATGGTTAGCACAAACTGCCCCATGATCCATTTCAAATACCATAACTTGCTCATTATCCAAATTCAAAACCTTTTTACACTATTTAGAAAAGGGCCAATTGGGATTTGGTTGGCCAATAAGCATATAAACACAAAACCTTGAGATAAAAAAAGCATTTAGAATAAGTGAGTCTTCATGGATTTTCTCCTAAAGACATCCTTCATAGACTTCCAACCTTCATTGTCAATAGCATGACAATGGCCATTTGAACCAGTCCAATACATGCAAGGTGCAGGGACATCGCACACAAAACAGTAGCACTGCAAACAGATAGAGCAAATAGAAAAAATAGTTACTTAAAAAGGGTCCAAATTAAGAGTCTAATTTCGGTCCAAACTTACAGATTGTAATATCACAAATGGGGATTGAAATTACCAGTTTACAGCAGCTTTCATGAGGTGTCTTCGTAAATGGATGCTTTACACATAAATGTCTGGAATGGGGATAATCTCTACACGCCACCTACATCAGAAGACTCAAATGCTCATTAAAATCGAAGCCACTTATGCAATAGAACAGACCACGAGCATCAATTTCATGTATCGAATTAAGGGTTTAAGAAAAGACCTGTCCCTTTTCATGGATTAGGGAAACATCGGGAGAATCATGGGGGTTGTTTTGGTGACCATTTTCGACATCCTTCTTTGAGAGATCGACGGAATCTTCTTCTGGATTGAAATCAAGAATGAAACAGTCTTCTTTATCGTCGAACTCTTTAATGGCGGATTTCCTCTTTAAACAGAAGATAGGTCTCAAAGGCGTGTCATCGTCATCATCCAAAGCCTCAACGACTGTTCTCTTTTTCGTTTTTGGCGTAAAGAAGGCTGAATCGACTTCCTGAACATCCGCCATTGATTAAACGCTTGAAAACCCTCGACTCTCGAGCGAACTAAAGCAAATCAATATGTTTGCGTGAGCGTGGAATGATAACGGTTTGAAATTTGAAAGTACATGAATGGACTCAAAGTTGTGCCCTTGGACTTGTAACTTGTAATCATTGACAAGCCAAGTTTTGTAAATTGGGCCTCATGTAAAATCATCTTCGTTATGGAAAAGGCCTATGGTCTAGACATTTTTGGAATAAGTGGATCCCTATCAAAATCAATTTTTCGGGTGGAAGGCAGTTCTAAACCGTTAACCATTCAAGATGGGAATCTTTAAAAGAGGGGTAGTTGTGGATTTTAGTCTTTTGCAATTTTTGCAATCTTGTAGATGAGAATTTAATAAATTGTGTCTGAGTTCGGGAGGTTTGGAATCTTATTGGTACTTGGTGTGATATAGATTTGTCCCTTATCACTAATTTGGAATATCTTCTTTTGACTACACATTGAAGACTTGCAGTTGTCAATCTCCAGTCGAGTCTAGAACGTAAAATCACATGGTTCACTTTTTAAATGAAACCATTAAAAAAAAATACTTGTGCGTCCGGATCGGGTCAAATCGTATAAGCAAAAAAAGATTTGAATGTATTATAATTGTACCGGCATGTGGTTTTATATATTGATATAGATTTTCATAATTTCACATGGTGAACTTAAATCAACTCTTATATGGTTATGTTCCTCATTATTTTTTTCTATTATTTTTTAATCATTCTTTTAAAAAACTTGAATAAAGACATTTTTTTTCCTAATTTCTGAAACAAGCAGCAAGTCAAAAATCAACAATCAAAACAAAAAAATAAGGTATTATCGATGAAACGATGATTTTGTTTTTGATGTGATATTTCTTACTTCGTTAGTTATGAGATTTCTTATTTCACAATTTTTAATTTACAAACCACACTCAAAATATCAAATAATCAGACAAATGAACTACGATTAAATAATCAATTCGTATTGAAACAAATAAAAAACACATAATAAACAATCATGGAACAATCAAAATTTATGTTGTTGAATCATTGAACAAGTCAAAAATCACCCTTCAATATCACTATTAGCGAGAAAAAAGAAAACCCTACTCTAGAATCGATATTCTGATATTCATAATTTATTATTAATAAATATTTTATATCAATTATATTAGAATATAGGAACAATGATCCAGTGAAGCAATAAGTTAAAAAATAATAAATAAAGAAATAAAGAAAAAAGAAACTTACATTCAATGGAATCGTGATTTGTGAATTATGAATTCTAGATCTTTGACGACTAATGAATCGATGGAATTGGAGTCTTGCCCTTGCCCTAATAGTTCGTATTGAGCCACTGCCCCCTACGATTTGTTTTATTTTCCCGTTTTGTTTTTAATTTAATTTTATATTGGGCTATATATTATATGTAAACTTTTTGGGCTTTCAAAGTATAGAATATAGGCTTTAAAATTTTGATTCTGAATATCTTTTTCCAATAATATTAGATAGTTCACTTAATTTTTTTAAGATAGTTCACATTTTTTAATTATATATAAGCTATTATAAAAGAAAAAAAAAAGTAGGTCAAGTGACCTACCTTCAACCTATGTAACCTCGCCATTGTCTCCGGTGCAAAGCAAAATGGCCCATGCTCTTTTCTTGGCTTCTCTTTGGCTCACATGGAAAACTAAGAATAACAAGGTTTTCAATAACGCTTCATTGTCCCCCTCCCAAGTGGTAGAAGAGATTAATGTGAATTCCTTCTTATGGATTAAGAATAGAAGGAAAGAGAATTCTTTGAATTGACATGTTTGGTGTAACTTTCCTTTTGTATTGTATTAACTATGTCTTGTTTGTTCTGTTTTTGCCTCTAGCTTCTCGCTAGGGTTTTAAATAAAAGCTTTTGTCGTTCATATATATATATATATATATATATATATATATATATATATATATATATATATATATATATATGGAAAAGTTCAATAAAGAATCATAATTATTGGTTCTTTAAGGAACAAAATCTTTTTTTCAATTTCTAGAACTTATTCTTTATCGAAAAAAAATTCTAAAAATATCTAAATTCATATATTAACATTGTGAATGTTAAAAATATTTTTCGGATTCACCGTGTGAATCCGGATTCACATTGTGAATTTTCAAAGATTCACATTGTGAATTTGACGTAAAAAAAAATCGAATTTGATATCATTGGAAAAAGGATAAAAAGTTATGAATTTCTGTATTGTTAGTTTTTTTTGATAAAAAATAAGTTCTAAAAGTTGAAAAAAAGATTGGTTCCTTGGTTAATTATGGTTCTCTATTGAACCTCACCCTATATATATATATATATATATATATATATATATATATATATATATATATATATATATATATATATATATATATATATATATAGGGGAAGGTTATTGCAAAAATGCAAAAAAGATGCGAAAACTCGAGAACCAATCAGAAGATGACACATCATTAATCTTTATTATTTTTAATAAATCATTTAACTAAATTATAAAGGCTATAGATGTCAATTAAATAACTTTGCAATCCACGTTTTCAATATCTGCATACTAATAACTACATATTAAGATGCTGCAAACATATTAACAGTTACGATGGCTAATAACCAACATCTTCATGATTAGACTATTCAATTAATCAAAATCTTGATGAATCGATAGTTTTCTCTTACAAAAATATTAGTTAAAGTAAAAAGATGAATATGCAAGAACATAATCTTACATCGACAACAACTGATTATCAAAATTATGGAATTGGAAAATCAGGATGTACATTAAACGATGATGATGCAGGCAAGTATTCAATGTATTATATGATTAAATTTCACATATTTATAAAGGGTATCGATGTCAATTAAAAAACTTTTCAATCCGAGTGTATTATATTTGATAACCGATAGTTTATTTAAATTTAATTCATCTTCCGTGAATCAAAATCAAACATTAATAGGGTGTTTTAATGCAAAAAAACTGCATACTTATATGAATTGAATGTTCAATTAAAGAACATATTGATGAATCAATACTTTGAAATTGGAATAACAGAGCGTAAAAAAAATAATACGTTCCAAAAATACAGTTTCAAATAAGTCTGATTACAATAATTCTGAAATTGGAATAACAGGAACTACATGAATCGATTATGATAAATGCAAGTATTTAATGATTGTATTATTATATGATTAAATATTATTGATAATAAGTTTGGATACATTTTTTTCCTAGAAATTTGTTATGGAGATGAAGTTGTATTCGTTTTTGAACATAAATGTATGATGCAGAGGGAAAATGACCAAATTGGAATTTTTTTCATGTATTCTATTAAATTTATAGCAAATTGACAAAAGTACGATTCTTAAAAAAAAACAAAAAAAAGTGAAAAAAAACAAAAAAAAAGCAATGCACTTTTGTAAAAGGGCGTAATCGTCCTATATTTATCATACATTTATGTTTTACAAAGTTTTATATTTTTCATTTTTTCACTTTTTTTTATTCATTTTTGTTTTCTTGTTTTTATAACTCCAACGACAAAAAGGGCAATTTACTATCAATTTATGAGGTGCAAAATAACCAAAAAAACAAAAATGAATAAAAAAATAGAGATTAATGAAAGTACATTGGCCTTTTTTTCCTTGAAGTTTGAAAGAAATGAAAATTATACAGCTTTGTGTAACATTGCTTTATTTTCATTTAAAGGGATTTATACATAAATGAAAGAAAATGATAGGAAGATTTGTAAATTTACCTTAACATAAAGAAATTCTTAAAAAAATCAAAAAAAAAAGTTGAAAAAAAGTATATTGCCCTTTTTTTTCCGTGAAGTTAGAAAAAAATGAAAAAAAATACAACTCTGTATAATATAAAAGTATGATAAATAAAGGACGATTACGCCCTTTTACAAAAGTACATTGCTTTTTAGGACGATTACGCCCTTTTACCTTAATATAAATAATATCTGAAAGTACATTGCCCTTTTCTTCATTAGAGTTATAAAAGAACGAAAAAAATTCAACTTTGTAAAAGTTTTACAACATAAAAGTATGATGCATGGGCAAAATAGACCAAATTGCCCTTTTGTCATGTATTCTATTAAATATATAGAAAATTGATGATTTCGCCCGTTTACAAAAGTACATTGCCTATTTTGCATTTTAAGGGATTTATACATAAATGAAAAAAACAAAAACTAAATAACGAAAATACATTGCCCTTTTTGTCGTTGGGGTTTTAAAAGAATGAAAATAATTCAACTTTATGTTGTAATAGTTTTACAACATAAAAATATGATCAGATGCAAAATGGACAAAAAAAATGAATATAAAAAAATAGTGACTAACTAAAGTACATTTGGCTTTTTTCCTTGAAGTTAGAAAGAAATGAAAATTATACAACTTTGAATAACATAAAAGTATGATAAATAAAGGTATAATGAAGGGGAAAAATGTATAAAATTGTCCTTTTTTCCATGTATTGTAATAATTTTATAGCAAATTGACAAAAAAAAATAATAAAAAACTGAATAAAAAAAGTGAAAAAAATGAAAAAAAAAATTGTTGTATAACATAAAAGTATGATAAATAAATGACGATTACACCCTTTTACAAAAGTACATTGCTTTTTTGGCATTTAAATGAATTTTTATAAATTTACCTTAACAAAAACAATTTCTGAAAAAAAAAACCAAAAAAAATTGACAAAAAACAAAAATTAAATAACGAAAGTTCATTGCTCTTTTTGTCGTTGGAGTTATAAAAACAAGAAACAAAAATGAATAAAAAAATTGAAAAATATGAAAATAATAAAACTTCGTATAACATAAATGTATGATAAATAAAGGACGATTACGCCCTTTTACAAAAGTACAATGCTTTTTTTTTTCCATTTTTCATTTTTTTTCCATTTTTCAGAAATTATTTATCTTAAGATAAAAGGGTGTAATCGTCCTAAAAAGCAATATACTTTTCTAAAAGGGCGTCATCATCAATTTGCTATCAATTTAATAGAATACATGACATAATGGGCAATTTGGTCCATTTTGACCCTGCATCATACTTTTATGTTATACGAAGGACAATGTAATTTCGTTATTTTGTTTTTGTTTTTTTTCACTTTTTTTGTGGTTATTTTCAGATATTGTTTATATTAAGGTAAAAGGGCGTAATCGTCCTAAAAAACAATGTACTTTTGTAAAAGGGCATAATCGTCCTTTTTTATCATACTTTTATATTATACAGAGTTGTATTTTTTTCATTTTATTCTAACTTCAAGGGAAAAAAAGGGCAATGTACTTTTTTCAACTTTTTTTTTTCAGAATTTCTTTATGTTAAGGTAAAACTCTTGATTTTTTTCAGAATTTATCATACTTTTATGTTGTAAAAACTCTTACAACATAATTTTTTTTTTCCTTATATTTATCATACTTTTATGTTATACAAAGTTGAATTATTTTCATTCTTTTTCTAACTCCAACGACAAAAATGGTGCATTACACTTGGTTAAAATTCATATATTCAAACACTTAATATATCAAACAAAATACTACTACTTTTTCTATAAACATATATAAAATAAACATATTAAACAAGGCTTCTTTATAAACATTACCAACCATCTTCTATTATATTAATCTCCAAAAGTAGCATACATAAGCAAATGACATAAAGTTCAAACATTAACAAAATATAACACACTAATATTCTTAAAAAAACTACCGTCAAGCATCATAAAACAGACATATGATAATATTGATTCAAAAACCCAGATTTCCCCCTTGTTGTTTCATCCACCTTGTTGTTTTCTCTAGTTCCTGAAGAGCTTCACTTGATTCTTTGTGTACTCCAAAGCTTCTTGGATTTTGTGAACATCAATCCATAACTTGAATCTGTCAAACATGTTGAGTCTTGCTTCCCATACATTAACATTTGGATTGAAAACAACCAATTTGTACAAAAGTGTGCACAAATAACTGTTTGTGGCCATGTTTAGTGTATATGGGAAAAAGATCGAAACAGTTTTTACATAATGTTCCACATATATCTCTTGAACACAAAAGGGACCATCATTTTTCACTTTTTCAAGAAACTCAGAAACATCCAGATCATTTTGAAGTTTGATTAAGGCAACATCCAATGTAGCATAAGATACCATTGAGTAGTAGAACGTTTTTTTAAAATCATAACCGAAAGAAGTTATTATTTTCTGAAAAACCTCAAAAGAGAAAGCATTTATGTTGCAGAAATCAACATAGTCAACCATTCCTCCATTGTAATAAATAGATAACAAAATCCTGATTATGTTATTGAATGTATATTACCGTATAGTCTTTTTTTCTTAAGCTTCAAAGAATTACTGGAATGAATCTTAATTGGATTCTTCACATCTGATACAAAAAAAAACAAAAAATAAGAAAACAACAACAATTGAATTATTTACAGGAAAAACGACAATGAAAAAAACACATACCTTCATTGATTTTTTCCCCTTGCTAAGTACATCATCAATTCTATCTTTCTTAAGCTTCAAAGAATTACTAGAATGAATCTCAATTGCCTTCTTCACATCTGATACAAAAAAAAAACACCAACAACAACAACAATTGAATTATTTACTGAAAAAACGAGAATGAAAAAAACACATACCTTCATTGATTTTTTCCCCTCGCTAAGTACATCATCACTTGAAATAACGTCATCTGCCAATTCTTCTGGATCTTTTTTAATCTTCCATGATTTACTGGAATGTATCTCAATTTGATTCTTCATATCTGGAACAAAATTAAAATATAAAACAACATAAATAAAACATCTTAATCAATATGGATAAACATATGAACCTTCATCGATTTTTTTTCCTGTATAAAATCTTCAACTGCACAATCTTCATCATCTTCAATTTCAATCGGATTATCAGCACAGTTCCAATTCCTATTCATGTTTCCTTCTACTTCCGTACACAATATCTTCTTTTTTTTCATTTTCGAATTAATCTTTTTTCTACTTGAACGAGCATCCAAAATCGCTTTAAACGCAATCATCGACTTTGAAGAAAAAAAACTGATGTCTATCTCGGTTCTGTCCAATACAGGTTTATACATGAAAAACTAATTTGATCCACTATATTGGATAAGGAAGTTACCAATTGAATTCAAAATTCAAAATCTATTATCCTTAATTAACTGATGCATAAAATCAAAAATATATAATTACAAACTTGAACTTATTTTTATTTTTACGTTTACACCCTTTAATTATTAGAGAATAATATTAATTATCATATCCATGTATTCAATTCTGATTGGTTCTTGCATTTTCGCAATATATATACATTTTCGCATGAACCTACATTTATATATATATATATATATATATATATATATATATATTATATATATATATTATAATATATATATTATAGATAATATATATAGGGAAATGATCAAATGAGAACACCAAAAAGGTTGAGAACGCGAGAACATGTATATTCATTTGTGATTCCATGTATTCATTTGTGAAAAGATAAATTTTTACGCACAATCAACATGAAGATGCTGTTTTTTTCACTTCATTAATTAAAGGCATAAAAATTTATCATTTCTCTCACAAATGAATACACGGAATCACAAATGAATATACTTTGTTCTCGCGTTCTCAACCTTTTTGGTGTTCTCATTTGATCCTACTCCTATATATATATATATATATATATATATATATATATATATATATATAACAAGAGTACAAAATTGTTATTATTATATTATATTATTATTATTATTATTATTATTATTATTATGAAATGTTAATTTGTGAATGACCATTGGATTCTTCATTTCTCTCATAATTCTCTATCGTCAGTAAGCATTATAACAAATATTATTATGAGTTTTATGAGTGTAGTTATATACCACTTTAAAAAGCATTCATAACATAGCTCACCTTTCATCTTCTTTGTTTAGTATAAATAGTGAGTAATATGTATTGTAAATGTTGGTTATTTTTACAAGTGATGAAATAAAGTTCTTTAGAATCTTATTTTCTAATTTGTTCTTTAACTAGCTTCATATTTTATAACACGTTATTAGCACATCTCTACCATAAAGCTCTAACTCCTTATCGCTCTTGTCATTTTTCAGGTATGTATTTTTTATAAGTTCACATGTATATTGCTTACAACTTATTTTGTAACACCTGTTTCAGATATTAGATGATTTAGCTAATGTCGGGGGGTTTGGTGCATGGGCTCGACGAGTTGGGAGTTCAACACGTCGAGTAGTGGCATTTAATCTTGGACACGGATCGGGACCAACTCGGCGAGTCGGAAGGCCCGACTCGGACAGTTGGAGCTGTAAAGAGAAAACCCTAATTTCGAGGATTGCAGCATATATAAGGGTCATAATCTGCCCTTGTGGCCTCCCCTAGCACCTTATCATCCCAGAGAGAACTGTTTTCGGCTGTAAACCCCCTTGAGTGAGAGGAAGAACTTGGTTTAGCAAACTTGGTGTGTTGAAGAAGGGATTTAGAAGAAGGAAAAAGAAGGGAATCAGTGGATCCGACATCTACACTGTATTGGTCACCATTTTAAGGTAAAAAGTCGTTACCTTGAGCTATAGATTCTTAGATCTCTCCTCTTTCAAGTACATGACCATTTTGGGCAATTGGAGTCCAAATTGGGATCTGGACGTATCACAAGGATATGGTTCCAGATCTGGACCTCCTTAGGTTCCCAATGTCATAAAGTTGTTTCCTTTATGTAGCTTAACCTCTTTCCATGCATTAAGACCTTGTATGAAGACTAGTTTTGGTGTTAGGGCCATGTGAGACCTTGCATGCACGTAAAGTTTGCAACTTTACGTGATATCTACACTAGGGAAGGCTAGATCTGAAGTTTGGGACTCTAGATCCCACTGGAAAAAGCCGAAAATGAGAAGGACTAAAGGAACTCGCTGAGTCCTTTAATTGACTCGACGAGTCGGCCAAGGAGTTTGCGGCCAAGGAGTTTACGGCCAAAGGATTTTCGGCCAGGGGTTTGCGGTTGAGAGTTTGAAGCCGTGAACATTAAGGAACTCGACGAGTCACCTAAGTGACTCGGCGAGTTGACGAGTTAAGCAAGGAACTCGATGAGTGGCTGGTTATACTCGACGATTCCAAGTCAACATGGACTGTTGACCTTGACTTTGACCAAGGTTGACCTGAGAGTATTTATAAGATGGTGCTAAGTTAATCATTTGATGATTATAGGCAGTTAAGAAGGAGCAGCATGTGAGATATATTTGACTTCAGCTTACCAGTTCAGTCTTCGAGAGGTGAGTCTTCTTACCATACCATTGGGTCTAAGGCACCAAGATCAGCTATTTTGTGATAGTTGGTATACTGGTTGTGTAGATATATGTGGCATGATTATGTGGTTATATGCGGTAGAGATAACCTATATGGCTATGGTAGAGATAGCTTTATAGCTAATGGTAGAGATAGCCTTTATGGCTAATGGTAGAGATAGCTTTTATTACTAACGTTAGAGATAGCCTTTATGGCTAATGGTAGAGATAGCTTTACAGCTAAGATGATATGTGATATGTGGTAGAGGAAGCTTTTACAGCTGTTATATATGTGTTATGTGACTTGTGTGTTGGGGTATGCTCTGGGGAACTCACTAAGCATTAGCTTACAGATTGTGGATTTGTTTCAGGTACATCGGAGCCCAAGGGCAAGGGCAAAGCTTGATGGCGCGGCGTGCACTCTCTCGGGCGTTTTTCACGGGACACTCTGATGTTTGGAATAAAAGTTGTATTTGACTATGTTTTGAAACAATTATGACTGGATTTTCTTAATGTTGGAGTTGTGTTTGATTATTTTAAAATGAAAATTTTCTTTGTAAAATTTGGGTCGTTACAAGTTGGTATCAGAGCCTTGGTTTGAGGGATTCGGGCACACTTTTGGGTGTGTCAGGACTCAAACTAAGGAAATGGTAACATTGTTTTCAAAAATAAAATGAAAAAGCTTCTAAAGAAAAGAAAAGATGAGAGTGCAACGCGCGTGATCGAGAACGCTAGGTTAGCCAACGCTAGGTGGCGGATATCGAGAATGCCCAGCGCACGAGTTCTTGCCTGGATGCGGCAAAGGTGGGATTTGATCCCTTAGTACGCTACAGATGAGGACATACGGATAATGAGATATCATTCCATGCTAAGGGATGATATCCGGAAGTTTGTGAGCTTTACAAGGTGTAAAACCCTGAATGAGATGGTAGAGAAGGCCCGAGAATGGGAAATGGAATTGGACTTCTGCACGAAGCGGAAGCATGAGCAGGCCCAGACAGCAGTAGGTTAGGCTATTAAGCCTAAGACCTCCGATACTTCCAGCAGGGGTCAGCAGGGTCGGGGCCGGCATGCCAAGTGCAGTAGGGTGCACAATGGAGATTGTCGTGTCATAGGCTCGGGATGCTATGCATGTGATCAGCAGGGCCACTTGAGCAGAGACTGCCCCACGAGGAGCCGGATTTCTTTTCACTGCAACCAGACCGGCCATAAGCGGGTCAATTGTCCGAGGTTGCAGGGAGGGGGAGGAGCGGTGGCGGCGCCTGCGCCCGCCACATTGAGGATTACCGATGGCCGCCCCGCCAAGGCGGATGCTCCAGCGGTGAAGAGCCGCGCATTTCAGTTGACCACCGAGGAGGCTCGGACAGCGCCAGACGTTGTGGCTGGTACGTATCTACTATTCTCTACTCTTTATGATTTGTATGATTTATGTGTACATTATGCTTGTATAGGGACCTTTTTGGTCAATGGTATGTCGGCACATGTTTTGTTTGATTCGGGTGCTACCCGATCGTTCGTGTCTCTTACGCTTAGCAAGAAGTTCCGGGACGCGCCTGGAACTCTGGATTCCCTACTCGAGGTAGAGATTACAGATGACCGCACCGTTAGTGCTGCGAGGGTGTATCAGGATTGTGTCCTGAATGTGCTTGGTGAGAGGTTTCGTATTGACCTAGTCCCGATACCGTTGCGAGGGGTGAAGGTGATTGTCGGGATGGATTGGCTGGGGGCCAACGGGGCCATGATCGATTGTGAGCATCAGTTGGTGAGGGTTCGAACCCCAATGGGGGAGAACTGGTGATACATGGTGATAGGGCCTCGCAGGGGCCACTCTCTGTTAGGCTGCGAGGGCTAGGAGATTTCTGCAGCAGGGATGTACATGATTTTTGGCTTATATCTCAGATACAAGGGTTGAGACCGCGACGGATGTGGGCAGTGTGCCAGTTGTATAGGACTTTCGGGATGTTTTCCCCGAAGAGTTACCAGGAGTGCCTCCGGAGAGGCAGGTGGAGTTTCGCATCCACTTGGTACCTGGTACCGCTCCGATAGCAAAGGCACCATATCGGTTGGCACCACCTGAGACCGAGGGTTCATACGTCCAAGCAGCTCCCCATGGGGAGCACCGATCCTTTTCGTGAAACAGAAGGATGGATCACACAGGATGTGCATCGATTATAGGGAGTTGAACAAGCTAACGGTGAAGAACCGTTATCCGTTGCCAAGGATCGATGATTTGTTTGATCAGCTGCTGGGTGCGTCTTGGTTTTCCAAGATTGATCTACGGTCGGGATACCACCAGATGAGGATATACCGAAGACGACATTCAGGACTTGGTATGGGCATTACGAGTTTGTGGTGATGTCGTTTGGGCTCACCAATGCCCCAACTACGTTCATGGACCTCATGAATAGAGTGTGTCGACCGATGTTGGATCGGTCGGTGATTATTTTTATTGATGATATCCTGGTCTATTCCAAGACCAGGGAACAGCATGAGCAGCATTTGAGGGAGGTACTGGAGACCCTGAGGGTGGAGAAGCTTTATGAAAAGTTCTCCAAGTGTGATTTCTGGCTGCGGGAGGTACAGTTTTTGGGGCATATCATCAATCAGGAGGGCATTTCGGTCGATCCAGCCAAGGTCGAGGCTGGGATGCGGTGGGAAGTACCAAAGAAGGCATCAAAAATTCGTAGCTTCTTGGGTTTAGCGAGCTATTATCGGAGATT